TTTTTTGACATACTATACTATGGTGTTTTTTCCACTTTTTTTGATATACTATACTATGGCGGTTTTATCACTTTTTTTGACATACTATACTATGGCGTTTTTATCACTTTTTTTGACATAATATACTATGGCGGTTTTATCACTTTTTTTGACATACTATACTATGGTGTTTTTTCCACTTTTTTGACATACTATACTATGGCATATTTACCAGTTTTTTTGACATACTATACTATGGCGTTTTTTCCACTTTTTTGACATACTATACTATGGCGGTTTTATCACTTTTTTTGACATACTATACTATGGCGTTTTTTCCACTTTTTTGACATACTATACCGGACATTTGTATCACTTTTTTTCAACATACTATACTATGGCATTTTTATGACTCTTCGACATACCAAACTATGGCATTTTTTACACTTTTTGGACATACTATACTGTGGTGTTTTCATCACTTTTTCAACAAACTATACTATGGCGTTTTTATCTCTCTTTTCGACATACCATACTAGGACATTTTTACCACTTTTTTTGACACACCATATTATGGCGTTTTTATCTCTCCAATTTCGACATACTATACTAGGACATTTTTACCACTTTTTTCAACACATTATAGTATGGCATTTATATCTCTTTTTGCGATAGACTATGGCATTTTCAGCACTTTTTAAGACCCACTATACTATGGTGTTTTTATCATTTTGTTTGACATACTATACTATTTTTTACTACTATGGCTTTTTTCTTTTTTTATTTTTAGCAATTTTTATGACATGCTATTCTATTTAATAATATTTTGTTTTTTTACCATATTTCTATGGTATACTATATTTTAACATTTTTTCATCATAATTCTTTGGCATAATATACTATGGCAATTTTACCAATTTTTCATGTCACAATATACAATGGCATTTTTTAACATTTTCTCTCATTGTATATTCAAGTATGTTTTGTTTTTTTTACGTTTTTGGCATACTATACTATCATAGTGTTTGCCAAATTCTTATGACAAACTCTTCTATGACATTTTTTACCATAGTTTTTTCGCATACTATATTATGATATTTTTGCCATATTTTCATGACATACTATACTATGAGCATGAGGTTTTTTTATTCATATTTTCATGGCATACTTATCCATGAGATTTATTTTTTCTCATATTTTTATGGCATACTATACTATGACATTTTTGTATCATAATTTTTGGGCCTGTATATATATAAGAGTGTTTTGCTGTTTATGTTGAATTTAGTCATACAACATGCACATGCCCATGGAGCTTATTGTTGTGATCATTACTGTGTAATGCACAGACTTACACCAGTGGCGTCTGGAGGCTCTCCTTTGGATTCGGCAGCTCTTGATTCTGCGTGCAGCAGCTTTGTGCAGATACACAGCATTCTTCATTATTGATGGAAGCTTTGCCTCAATTTCTGCTGCACAGATGCAGTCTTCAAAGAATTCTGGATTAACACAATCATCAGAAACACATGATATATACATATATTTACACAGGATGCTGGCATTATTGTAGAGGTCCTCGGATGTTTTCATATCATGGAAATAGCAAACATATATTCGCAGGCCGCAGCCACTCGTGAGATATAATCCTTGAGATGCATGTAATACATTTATTTGCTGATTTAGAATTTAGCAAAAAGGGGAATATAAGCGGTGAGACTTGAATCTGCAGTTCACAGGTGGAAAAAACTAATGTAATAAAAAATGTTACAATGTCCACTTACTTTTTGTGTACATTTGTGTCATTGTGTGACCTAAGTTTGGGAATAGCTAAATAAGTGGAGCTTGTGTTCACAGTATTTATCAAAGATATTTGTCCCCAAGGTCAAGAATGAATTCTTATGCTCTAAAATTAAGACACAGAATATAGTGTTATCTTGATGTAAATATGTAACTAAAGTAAAGTAAAAACTGTTAAATTTGTGTTCATCCCTTTGATTCAAATTGTTTGGAGCTTTTACTTATATTATATTATATTATATTATATTATATTATATTATATTGTATATTATAATGACAGTGTAATTACATGGAAACATGACAGTGAGAATACTGAATTATTAGACAGCCCTAGTTTAGCACTGCCATTTTTAGACTGTATAGTTTGCAGAGCTGCAATGATCTGTTGATTATTGATATGTCAATGGACAGAAAATTAAGGCTTTTTGATAATCAATCCTTTCAGTCATTTTTGAAATAGAAATGCCCAATTAGTTTCCCAGCATCTCAAATGTAAGGATTTGATGCTTTTTCTAAAAATTCTGAGTCAAGTATTATGGTGAATATCTTTTGGTTTTCGACATTTGTTTGAATAACAAAATATGAATAAATCATCTCAAAACATCATAAAAGGCATTTTTCACTATTTGGTGAGATTTTATAGACTTAATGATTAAAAGAGAAAAGAATCAGCAAATCCACTGATAATTAAAATAACCTGATCAAGCCCTGTTCATTTGAGGCAACTGTGAACAGATTACACAAAATGCAAAACTCCCACTTTTCTTGTTTCATGTTTCGTTATCTTTCTCTGATATCTGCTGAATGTGATCAACATGTGATACAGACTCTATCCAGAGGAGGGCAGTCACACAGGTGGAAGTGTCAGATCAGATTAAATGATGCACTTCACCTCCCTACTGTATGTTTAAGAGCATTTGGATCAGTATGTAAACCTGTTTCAGAGAATTATCTGAGTAAATCTGCTTCAACACATCTGTATTCATGTATCAGACTGATGATATTCTTTCTGCTGTCCTCACTCCTCACACATAACTTCCATCACACCAAACTTTTACAGCTCTAACTAAACTCAGTGCAGTCCTGCAGCACATATATGACATCAGATATGAAGGTATCAGTGAATACACTCACTCCTCAGCTGAGTCACATCCCCCTTCATCTTCTCGTCTGTCTCTTTGGTCCGTTCCACTGAGTCCAGGCCTCTCTCCAGGTCCTGCAGAGCCTCTTCGGCCTGCTTCAGTCTTTTCTCCAGCTCCACACGAGACTCTATCTCTGCCTGAGTCACACAGGAAGCGTGCAGGATGTTAATGAACTCTTACTTATCTACTGCAGCTATGTGTGGATATTTTGCATCAATATAATCGGATCGTTAATCAATGAATCGATGTATCGTTACACCCCTACTCAACAATACAGCTGCTTGTCTCTTTAATTACTCGTGCATACTTTGTCCACAAAGCAATTTGAGGCCTGAAGGAAGAAAGAAAGAGTGAGGTGATGTAAAGAGGTGATGGATACAAAGCACAGAGGAAACAGAGGTAACTTCATACAGACAAACCGGACAACAGGGGAGGATGTTGTTCCAGTAAATGTAATGTGAGATCAGCTCTTCATGCCACAGAGACTCTGCATCAGTCTGAGAGTCTGTAAAAATCTGACTGATGAACCAACCTGAGTATCAGAGTTACATCCAGCTAGTTTCTACCTGAGTTATTTGTACAAGCAGGGTCACGTCCTCTGTATGTTTTTTTTCTGGGGTTTTAATTAAAAACACAGTATATTAGTAGGTATTTTAAAGGTTCAAGTTATTTATACTTAATACTTTTGATTTAAAAAATTTCAGATAAACTGGAGGATTAAATGTGCCTTTGTGGATTGTGAAAATTCTTCTATTTCTTTAGATATTTAAAAACCCATTGTATTATTATTATTATTATTATTATTATCATTATTATAATTATAATCATTATCATTATTATTATTGTTATCATTATTATCATTATTATTATTATTATCGTTATCATTATTATTATTATCATTATTATTATTATTACTGTTATGACAAAAGGTAAAAACAGGGTTGATTTACTAAGCTCATGAAGTCACTTCTGTTTTGTACTTCTTTGTATCTAGAATTTTATGAGACATATATATTGACTATATATAATCTATACTGACATTTTTTCATAATTCTTTTGCATACTTTTCATCATATTTTTATGCCATACTATGTTCTGACATTTTTTTTTTATCATATTTTTATATCATACTGTACTATGACTTTTTTTTTTTTTTTGGGTTGTTTGTTTTTTTGGCATACCATTACTTTTTTTTTTTTTTTTTACCATATTTTATAGTACTCTAAACAAAGACTTTTTTTCCCCACAATAAAATGGGACCAATTAGCAGTAAATAAGTTATCTAAATATATTCCAAATTAAATATCTGGGGAAAGCAAAACCACAGATCAATTTATACTTAGTTTAGAGGCATAACAAACACTACTTCTACCAGTATACCTAATACTACTATATGAGACTGATAAATGCCTATCTGACCAGGAAACTGAAGGATTTTAAAAGTCGAAATCATTAAAACCTTCCGTCAAGTGTCAGGTCCAATTTTTTCCACGGTTGTGGACATTTAAACTTATCATCCTGGTATTTCAAAGAATCCAGGCTACAGCTCTGAGTACAAGCACAGTTCAACACAATCAGTGAGTGACTGATCATTTTAACTATTATTAGTTCCACATGTGTTTTTCCTGCTGCTTATGAAAGGCTAAATGTCTGCTGTGACAGTCCTGAAACTGAAGGTGTTACTGACACATTTCCATTTACTGTTCCTCAGGTAGAGCTGTTTTATTGCACGTCTGCCCGTCCTGGAAGGGAGATCCCTCCTCACTTGCTCTTCCTGAGGTTTCTATCATTTTTTCCCCATTAAAGGGAGATTTTCCTCATCTGCTGTGAGGGTCCAAGGACAGAGGGATGTTGTATGCTGTAGAGGCCTCTGAGGCAAATTATGATTTGTGATATTGAGCTTTATAAATAGAATTGAATTGAATTGTTTCTAAATCCCACAAGAGACATGCTTTAAACTCCTGAAATTACTGTAAAACTCCCTCATTTTCAGCTGCTGTTGCAATAAACGTTTTCATCATCTGACTGTTCATCTTGTGTCGACTCTTTCACTCTTTTATCTTAATAAAAATCTTTCCTCTGAAACAATATCTGAAAGGAAAATAAACCTGGCAGCTGATTAATACGCTGACCTTTAAACTGACTTTGAGCGTTGCTGTGTCATGTAAGCTGAGAGCAGCTGAGTCACGCTGTGTTACCTTGAGCTCAGCCTCAGTCTGCTGCTTGTCTACAGTGAGCTGAGAGAGCGACTGCTGCAGCGTCCGGGCCTGACACGAGTAGAACTCCCTCTCCTGCTGCAGGACTGTAGCTCGCTGCTCGTTCTCCCTGAGCCTGGACGACAGGGAAGGACAGCACATTCACAACATATACAACATAAAATATATCATGCATATTTTTGTCCTAACCTGCTCATAACTCAGACTGTGCCATTTTCTACGGATTTGGGCATTATTTAAACCCTTTTCAAAGCTCCAAGATTAATCCTAAAAGCTGTTTTGTTGCAGAAAATAAAATCTGGATTTCCACTTCAGTTGCCCTTCACTGTCAGGAGGACTGAGAAGGTTGGTGTCCTGCTGTGCTCCCTGAGCTCTACAGGACTCAGATACACACAGACAAACACACAACTGTAATGTCATTACAAGGTTAAGACAGGAACAACAGAGCAACTTGTGCGACGCTTAAAGGAACAGTTTGACACTTTGAAAAATTATATGCCCTCTGTGAACACGAGTATATAGCATGTTGTCATTTCAGATGCTGGTCTTTACACATATTTAACAAACAAGATATAATGTGTTAATTGTTTAGCTTATGAGGTGCTTGAAGACAGATTTTCTTTCCTTTGTACAGAGCCAGGTGACCTGTGTCCACCTGTTCACGGTTCTTTATGCTAAGCTAAGCTAACCAGCTGCTGGCTGTAACTTCATATTTAACATATGAGAGTGGTAACAATCTTCTTATCTAACGGTCAAACTACTGCTTTATTTAGTTGAATATCTGCTTTTCTTTAAAGTGTCTTGAATCATTCATAATGGTCCGGAGCCACGTGTGGCTCTTTCGCCCCTCTCCAGTGGCTCCCGGTGGTTTTGGCAAAAAAGATGATATAGAAATTACATTTTCATTTTTCACTGTCTTAAGCCTTGTGTGATTCTTACATTCTCTCTTGTAAAAATGTGTAACCTATCGACAGAATAAAATAAATGTTTTTACATTTCATCAACTAAATATGCGTCATACAGCCTTTTCCCTTTTCCTTTAAATTTTGCTGAACCACAAAGGGTTGTCTTGGATCTCCCCGGCTAAGCTAGTTATGGAGTCCAGATCGTAAAAAGTCTTGGAGGACGATAAACAATTTAACAGTGCACGGACATATTCTTTTCCTTTTACCACCAACCCTGCAAATTAAAGTACCAAACAATCATAAATATCCCACTGCAGAGTCGCCACCTTGTGGTAAAACATATTAGTAAAGGCTCATTTAGAGCTATTAGTAATGTTGATGAGTGAATTTAGACTGTTAGCATCATCACGCCCATCACTAGAACCAAGCACCGAACCTTGGGGGACCGAGCCTTCGCCGCCACTGCCCCAACCCCCTGGAACTCCCTCCCACTCAACAGCAGAAATGCAGACTCCCTAGAGACTTTCAAATCACTGTTAAAAACCCATCTGTTCAAACTGGCATTTCCCTAGTTTCTAAGTCATTTTTCATTTTCATTTTTATTTTATTATCATTGTTATTTTTCAGCACTGTAAAGCATCTTTGAGTGTCCTGAAAAGCTCTATATAAATCTGATGTATTGTTATTATTATAAGGCTCAAATGTGTTTTGAAGCTCCAGGCAGATTATTTGAGAGCTGTTTTGGCCAAAAATGTCTCTACTTATAGCAAAGGTTGCCGACCCCTGGTCTAGTGTGCAGGATTTAATGGCATCTAACAGTGGCTAGAATAGAGGCTGCAGATTGCAACAAACTGAAAACCTCTCCCGAGTGTCAAGCATGTAGGAGAACTATAGTGACTAACGTGAAAATGTAAATGACCCGATCTAGAGCCAGTTTGTCCATTCTGGGCTACTGTAGAAACATGGCGGACTCTGTGGAAGAGGACCTGCTCTGTGTGTAGATATAAACGTCTCATTCTATGTTCACGAAAACACAATGATTTTTAGGTTTACATGATTATAAACTGAAAACATTCCTCGTTTATTCCATTTCTGTCAATATATTCACCTAAATCCTGCACACTGGACCTTTAAGCTCACTGCTGGATGTTTCAGCTGAATGTCTCTGTCAGTTCCTGTCTTCACGATTTTTTTTACTGTTCTTTTGCAAATGTGGGATACAACAGACAAAATCTATTTTGTTATGTTTTATTATATTATACTGTATTATTTCTAAGCTTCATATGTTCTTTCATCATATGATGGAAAAACAGAAAATATGTTTGAGAAAGAAATGTTAAAATATAAAAAATAATGAGAAATTGAGACATTAGACATGTTCAAATGTCTGAAAATGATCATTATGATGTAATAAGTCCTGTAATATATACCACCTTTGTAAAACATGTCTGAGTGATGTTGATTAAATTTAACTATCATTTTTGAGACTGTAGTTTCTGGTGTTTTCACTATTTTTGCTCCTGAATAATGTAAATAAGGTGGAAAAAATATTAGAAACACCTTTGATGAAGGAAAACATGTTTTTTATACTAAATATATTGTTGCTGTATCATTGAATGTGTATGTTTCCAACAAAAACACTTGTCAAATTTAACTGCTTAAAAAAATATCACATAGATTTGGGTCAACATGCAAACAACTAAAGGAACAGTTCACACAAAAACAGAACATTATAACCCGTATTTGTTGCAGGACTGTTTTGTAATGCAGTTAAGCCTCAGCTTGATTTAGCACGAAGCTGTTCTGCAGGATTCTGGTTGTATTTTTGTATTTTTCCATGAAGCTGCAGCTGTTATCTGCCAGTGAGAGGAGGAGCGTGCAGCTCATGGAAACATAACGTTATGGCTGCTATATTTCAGAGTTCCTAAAAGAACATTAGTGCTACACAGTCAATAGCAGCTGCCTGTAATATCCCACTTACTGGTGCTGATCAATGGGGCTGGTTGTTTATGGATCAATACACATTTCCACTACTAGTACATTCTCAGTGCAATTAGCACAGAGGATCCCTGGAAAGGCCACAGGATGCCAACATGTAATCGCAGGCTGAAGCCCTGCAGTGAACATTTTTACCTTGGTACCTCAGTACTGATTCAGTAACCAGGGTTTCTAATGTGACGCTGACACTTATATGTTTATTATATTGTTGTGTGAAAATGTAAACAGTTCTTTAAAGGCTGCCTGACTGAAAAACCAAACGGCTCAGAGAAGTGTAAGCTTCTAACTGGTGTCCAGATGTTAAAATCACAAACATACATTTGCTGCAGCACACCAGTATGATCCCAGTCTGATGCTGGATTCTGTTCTCTCACTCACTTGTCCTCAGCCTGCTCCTTCTCCTTCAGCAGGATCTTCATTTGATCCTCGATGTGTCGCAGGTCCTGCAGCAGGTCCACAGCACCGGGGTCCTCGCCATCCTCAGACTGAGCTGAGCTCTCCTCTGTGGCCTCATCCTCCTTCTCCCCCCGCTCCTTCACCCCCAGCAGCTCCAGGGTTCGTTGTTTCTCCTGAGAGAGCTCCTGAAGGACAAAACAATAAAGCTCAGACCGGCGCCCTCACACCTCTGCAACTTTTCTCTGCAACTTTCTACAGCAGTTTGATCTAGTCGCAAATTATTGGGCTTAAAACTGGGCTCTCTATGTGGTAAAAAGTCACAAATACTTTTGAAACTGGTGCGACATGACCAGAGAAAACAAAGAAAAGGGGCTGTGGCATTTGCTTTTGCTCAAGAGGCAGAAAACATACAACTACTGGAAAGCACAGCACCACACCGCACCAATAAACGCTCCTGTGGTGTGTGATGTAGTGTAAGCTTTGCCATTTTCCATAGGAAACAATATGGCGGCTGGCAGGTAACATTCTTGTACTATAGCTAAACAGTAAGCTAATATACGTTTCAAATAACAAATAACATCTATGTTCAGTCAGTCTGAGTTTGAGAGCACGACGCCCCTCTCTTTCAATCAGCTTCTACACTCTTTGTGTCTGTGGTGGTGGCAACATACAACAATTAAGAATTACAATTACTGTAGTTTGAGCCACAGCCCAACATTGTTATGATACAACACTGATTGAAAACTGGCAAAATTTCCCATTAAGTTAAATATAAAGCTACAGCCAGAAGTAATTAGTGTTTATTAGTGAGCTTGGAGGTGCTGACTGGAGGTTATTTGCAGCTACCTTCAGACAGAGCGCAGAGGACAGGTGTTCCCCACCTGTTTCAGGCCTTTATGCTAAGCTAAGCTAACTAGCTGCTGACTGTAGCTTCATATTTAACAGACAGACATGAGAGTTGTATTTCCCAAACGTCAAACTCCTCCTTTAATTCTTGAGTTTCGAAATGTTTATAAACTCAGAGTTCATTGTTTCCACATGGCTCTCATCCCTCCCACAGAAAGTTGCGTCAGTGTAAAATGAATTACGTCAGCAGGATAATGTGACGAGCAGCCTCGTTTGTTACACAACTTATGACATCAGCTGTTGTAACATTACATGATCTGAATCAAGCGCCACAGTTCCAACTCATCAATAAATTATTCTTGTCACAGTGGACTATCCGCACACACACACACACACACACACACACACACACACAGTATCTGTGAATGAGTGACCAACAGCTTTTAGTTTCATACCTCGATGGATTTCTGCAGCATGATGGTCAGACTGCTCAGCTCTTCTTTTTCACTCTCAACACCTCTCAGGGACTGAGCTGTGCCGTCCAGGTCTCTGCCGTCAACACACAGATAAGTCACATTCATTCACAGGCTTGTACAGTACAATCGGTATGAGTTCACATAAACATAAAGTAGTTGAGTTTTTACAGTTTGATATGCTCCTGCTCCGCCTTCAGCTCCACCACCACCTCCTCAAACTTCAGCTTCTCCTCCTCCAGAACCTGGTTCAGACGCTCCAGCTCCTGCACACACAAACACAACTGTGTTACAGGGTGTATTTAGTATTTAAAATGTTGCAGATTATTAAAATGAATGATCACATTCACTGCTCTGTGACAGTATAAAGAGGACCTGTTACACTCATTTTCAGGTTCATACTTGTATTCTGGGTTTCCACAGCAACATGTTTACATGCTTTACAGTAAAAGAACAATTTGTTTTCCTCAGATTGTCTGTGCTGGAACAACTATATTCACCCTCTGTCTGAGGTGCTCTGTTCAGCGCCTGTCTCTTCTCCTCCTTCTGAATAGATTTTTGTTGTTGGATATAATTCAGTCCATCTAAATGTCACTTTAAATGTTCTTATTTTCATTTAAGAATTTAGCATGTAAGACACCTCCCCTGGGTGAAACCCTGCATTTTTATAAGTCTCCTCAACGTCTCTGCACCATCATCGCAGTCAGGAAACGTCTGTAACGGAGAATAGTGATACTTTCTACAGTGCAAAATCACCAATAAAAGCTCAGCATAAGTTCAATCAGGAAGACTTTCTTTGTGCTATATCCAGTCACAATTCTCTCTCTATCCCACTCCTCTACTTCAACATCTACTACATCTTTACCACCCTCTAAGATGTATGACATCACGATGGGGTCTAATTGCCAAAGACTTTTCATGTTTCTCACACTTATGTGAACATGTAAATAAATATCCTTTTCTTCTCTCCTGATTGAATTGTAAATATTTGCAGTAGCACGCCTGGGGCAGACGACCACATAAAGAAATCTGTCACAAACCAACGACAGCTTGTCTCATTGTAAACTATTCAGAACGTAGGGTTGGGTACCGACACTCGGTACTTTTTGTACTTGGTACCGATTCACGTTGGTACTACCGAGTACCGATTCACTTAAAATGAATCTTTGCCAAATTTCGGTACCTGAGGTGGAGGCGGAGCGAGAGTGCATGACTTGCACCTCAGACTCAGCAATAATGGCGACAAAAAAAATGTACAGACAAAAGTTAAAGGCGCTGTATGCAAGAATGTGGCTAAAACGGTTACTGCACTCAAATTCAAAATACTGCTGCGAGTCGTGTCCGCCCCCCCTCCCCTACAGATTCGAGGTTGCTGGACAGCTGAGGAGAAGCCGGCTGCTAATGCTACGTACTGGGACACTGCTAATGCTGCTTGCCGTGCTGCTGTAGCTCAGTCGTAACTGTAACTGATGCTGAGACTCTACTGACTGTGTGACTGGTAGACGGCTGTGGGTGGCGCAACAGGCCAAAACACAAATTCAAAACATGAACATGATTTGCAGACTGCAAAAGAATTTTTTAGATGCGAATATTCTGGCTGTACTATTGTTGTCGGTGAGATCAGTATGTTATATGAACATTATTCCTTAGTCTCTGTGACATATTAGGAGGATTTTATGACTATTTGCCTTAGATTTCTTACATATAGCTCCTTTAACGTGTAGCACTGTTCCTAAATGTTCTCAATAAAATGTTGAAACTGAGAAATTTATACTTTAAAAAGTACCGAAATAAGGTACCGTTTGGTACCAGTACCAAATTCCAGATACCGGTACCGGTTCAATTATGAACGGTACCCAACCCTAACTCACGGGGATTACTTTTAAATACGTTTGCCCTGTTAATTAAAAATTTTGGCCATGTTTAATACGAACATTTGACATTCTAACATTAAATATATATATATATATATATATATATATATATATGTACACATGTACATAAGACACCAAACGAAGAAAAAAATCTGAAAAGTGTGAAGGATGCTTTATTTTAATACCAAAATATTAAAAAGAAAAGTACAGGTAAAACTGTAACAATTGATTAATCATCTAGTTGATGGATAAAAAAAAAATACTCTGTACCAATTTTAATAATGTATTAATTATTTAGTTCATTTATTCAGCAAAAACCTTCAAACACTTTTTGACCAACCTTCTCCAGTGTGATGATTTGCTGTATTTCTGTTTTATATTGCAGTAAACTGAATATCTTTGGACTGTTGGTCAAACAAAGTAAGACTTCTGAAAACGTCATCTTGGGCTCTGTCTTTCATTTTATACACTTAATAATTTATAAAAATATAATCAGTAAAAATGACTGTTTGCCTCACATGTGTGATGATAGCAGAGGAGTAAATAAGAAGTCTCACCTCTCTCTGTGCTCTTTGATGACTGAGCTCTTCAGTCTCTTCCATCAGTTTATCTGCAGACAGAAAATTATTTCACATGAACCTGCTTCGGCCTGATAAACCTTTAAAAAGCTCAGGTGACTGTGTGTCTGTGTTTACCCAGATACTCCTGCTTCTCCTTGGCCAGCTGTAGCCCCTGAGCCTCCAGACTCTCGATCATGGCCTCCCCCAGCTGGGCGTTCTTCCACGTGCTGTCAGACAAACACAAAGGTTTCAACTAAACCGAGAAACGATCAGTAAAAACACGGTGAGCACCCAATATTTTAGGGATGATAGTAAAAGGTTTCAGCACGTCCGTCCAACACTTTGATCCAGGCTGAAATATTAAACAAATCATTGAATTGCTTGCCAAAAATCATTGTTCATACATTCATGTTCTTGACAGGATGAATTCTACTGACTGTGACCATCCTTTGACTTTTTATTCAGCTCCACCTGTTCGAGTTTTGGCTTTGCTTCTCCCTTTCCTTGTGTATCATGTTTGTCTGTGTGTTGCTGGGTGTGGACTTTTGGTTCCCTCCTTCTGCCAGTCCACCTGATCCAGCTGCTGATCCTACTCACCTGCACCTCACCCACCAATCAAGCCATCACAGTATAAACCCCGGCTCAGACTCCCAGACTCTGCCAGATTGTTCAGTCTCCTATGTGGTACAGATGTCAAGGCCTTCAGACTGTTCAGCCATCAGTTCCTCTGCCTGCCCTACCTCACCTCCTCAGCCAGACTCCTGATTGCCTCAGTCAAGATTTCAGCCATCCAGAAACCTTTCACAATACACTGTCCTAAACCTTCCTCTGTGTCCAGGTTGTGCTTGTTTTTGGGTCCTAAATTGGACTGACATGACTCCACCGGCAGATCAACGTTTCATTCAAAATCTGTTTAATGAATTGCCTTAAAATTTACTACATACATTCATGGTCCCCAGAGGATGAATTATAGTAACACAGATGCTCTGACTTTTCTTCAGGCCAGTGGTGGCCCTGGCATATTCAGTGCCCTGGGCAAGCCTGCCACCATCATCATGAGAACATTATGATTTGACTGACTTACTTGTTCCTCTAAGCTCCTAGGTGGAGCATAGGGCCACAATCACACCCCGCCAATGGACTCTGTTTTGGGCAGTTTTCTTCAGCTGGGCCCATGTCTGTCCAGTTGTCTTTGCCTCACTCTCAACTGATCTTCTCCAGGTCTGTTTTGGTCTCCCCACTTTCCTCTTGCCCTGTGGATTCCAGTCCAGTGCTTGCCTTGTGATGGTATTGGCTGGTTTGCGTAAGGTGTGTCCAATCCACCCCAACTTTCTCTTCTTCACATCCTGGCTAATGGGGTTCTGAAGTGTTTTCTCCCACAGGCTGGCATTTGAGATCTTATCAGGCCACCTGATGTTCAGGATGTGTCTAAGGCATTTGTTGATGAAAGCCTGGAGTTTGTTGGTCACTCTCCAAGCCTCCGATCCATACAGGAGGACCGCCTTGATGTTGGTGTTGAATATCCTGGTCTTATTTCGGAGGGACAGGGCCTTGGAGTTCCAGATGGGTCGCAGTGTGTTAAAGGCATGTCTTGCCTTATTTATCCTGCTCTTAACGTCATCATCTGATCCGCCATCTTTGCTGACTATGCTCCCGAGGTATGTGACATTATGATTTACCATCATCCAATACTATTTTTTCTTAATGGAGCTTGAGAGCTTCACAGTGTAAATCAGTGCAACCTCTGTGAGCTGTTCGTCGTGGCCACCGGCTGCTTAGAGGTAACGATAATTACCTCTCCTCCTGCTGATTTCAACACGGATTTGTTGGTTTTTTTAATGTTCTTTCTCTCCACATCCAAAAAAAGGCTGTGTGTGTGTAGTTATGTTGTTGTGGCCTTATGTAATATTTCAAAAATAATAGTAATAATAGTATTAGAAAAAAAAAAAGTAAAATTATTACGACTATTTAAGTCTGATGTGTATGAACTGAAAATGTCTGACTGTTGCAACTCCAGCATTAACATTTTTTTTCTACAAACAACAATGTCCCATCTAAATAATTCTACAAGCCCATAAAAATTCATGAGTCACGCCTTGTGTGTGTGTGTGTGTAATCCCTTCAGAGGTTTTAGAAGACGAATTTGTGTTAGTCGAATACTCACACTTTGCCCGACTCCTGCAGCATCTCCATCCACTGGACCTGCTCCTCCCCAGACTCAGCAGCCAGGACTATGGTGCCCTGAGGGACGGATACACAACATCACACGTCAGCAGTTTGTCAATAATGAGATTAGGCTCTAAAACAGACAGAGGATTTTCCATCTTTGGGCTGCTGAGACAGTAAAAATTGATATAACACTGTTGTCACCCAGTGTGCAGTTAAATTCACTCTATGATGTGTCACATTTATTCAGTATGAGGCTGATTTAAGTCATAAAAGTACGATTCAGACAGAGATATTTCAGCTTGGCTCTGCAGGCTGCTTTTTAACAGAGTCAATTGTAAGTTTACACTGATTTTTATTGCATGATGTCTGTCTGCACCTTTATTTCCATGTCTGTCTTTGAAATTCTACTTCAAACCTCTGTAAAGCTGATAAATAATAGAGTAATGAAGGAATCAAAGTGTGACAGGATCTTACAGTGAAGTCTTCCAGGTTGACCACGATGCCATGGGGCATGCCCATGTTTTCATTAGCTGACACCACACATCCTCCCAAAGGGATGACTCCCTGAGACACAAACACATCACACCGTTATTCATAATGTTGCTTCTGGATAATTTAGGTAAATGCCTTGTTTTTAAAAATGCAAAAAGTGACTTAAACACACAGTTATTAAATTAAAACCTCCCACATGTGTATCATCCTCCACCATCTCTTACAGGTGTTCAGAGAAGACGCAGCGGCTCACCTTGGGGTGGATGTTGAAGTACCTGTTGGTCTCAAAGTTTCTCTTCTCGCTCTCTGCATAGTAGAGCAAGAAGCTGTCTTTGATGATGAAGAATCTTTGTACCGAGGAAGACAATGAAAGCAGCAGTGAGTCAGTCCTGTGGGGCTGAAAGGAACCAACGTCTGCTGATGTTCTCACTAACACATTACTACTGTTCACTGACATCTTAGTTCATTGTACAGACAATATGAAACATTCCTGCTTCTGACTCTTTATACATATCATTATTTAATTCACAAATAACAAGTGTACTGTGAAATTGATCCTGTGAGGGAGCTGCTTTTTATTTTATACTTAAGATCACATTTATTTCTTGTGACCCATTAATATGAAGCAGCACTTTCCACCTGTCATCATGGGCTGCGTGTCAATAAGTTATGTGCAGTTAAACAGTTTGCTATGGACTGTTTACACAGGCACAAATAAGTAAAATTAAACTAGTATAAAGTATAAGGAAAGTATAAATAATGTATAACTGTCCCATGTTGGAAAGGGCTGTCTGACGGGCAGGTAAACGCTGAAAATATTGTTTTTAGGAGGCTAAAATACATTCTGCTGCTGCCTCTGTCCACAGCTGTACATTGCTCATCTGTGTCAGTACTCCTGCCTGCTTCTCCAAACTGGGGTCATGCCAACTGCCATCTTACTCTGTGTAATACCCTACCTGTGGGTAAGTACCTCGTACAACCCCACTTCAAAGAATTCAACTATCCTTTTTTCCCTTTGAAACCACCTTTCTTGTGCTGCTTTCAGACGCCTTTCACAAATATTTAAACCTTTAAACGCTGAAATAAAAATTGGTCTGATTTCTTCCAAAAACATGGGAAAAGGGAAATGAGAGACTTGATGAGAAATGTCCCACAAATTACAAAAGAAAAAAAAAAGATTTAGAAAATTATTCTAAAAAACTTCTTTCTTATTTCATTTCATTTATTCGTTTTTACTAATTTTCTTGTTTTGAATTTTCTTTCAATTTCTTTTGGCCATGTCTGTTTTTTTGTTGCTCACTGCCTTCTACCCATGCTTTTGATAGAAATCAAGCCGATTTTCTCGGGTTTCAAAGAGTTAAAGGACTACCACATATTCACTGTTGCACATACATTTGGGGGACTCACCAGAGAAGGATTTAATAAAGAGTAGACAGATTCTCTGCAGCACAGGCCGAGATATCCTGACTTTAAGTTCCATTTTCAAAAAAGCTAGATCCTTTATTTCCCATAGCGCACCTCATTATCATCTGTCATTAGACCCTCCTGTCTGTTAAAGGCCTTCATCTTACAAACTGCACGCCTCCAGATATAACTTCTTTCTCTTTAGAAAGACATTATACAGCTATTTTCTTTAGAGAAGGTAATGAAGAACTAGTTCCAAATTACGATGAGATGCGATGCAATGGGTTCATTTTATTGTCCCTGTAGGGAAATTTGTCTTAAAGCATCAAGCTACAATATTTAAAATCTTAATTAACGTTTGTCACAAATGAATTTTCAAAATGATCATCCTATATTGTCTGAATTGCCCAGTCCATCTGAATCGTATGCATCCAAGCTTGTCACTTCCTTTTATTGATGTCAGCATGTTCTTCTGTCAGTTGTGCATTTGTGCAACCATGAAATAAAAGTCACACGTCTTTGCCACTGTAAAAAATTGCAATCAGAAGGAGTCATGGTGGAGACGAAGAAACAGTCCAAACCATGGCTTCATTGCACTGTATTGTCTAACATTACAATTTCAAGTAATGGTGGAAACACCAGCAGTATGCTTGAACATCTGTCTACACAACAAAGGTTTGAAATCCAGGAACATCATGTATTTGACACTTTACACACGAGTGCTAGTGCTTCCCAATGAAGCAGCACGTCCGTTACCGAGGGTAAATATCCTGTTATAATAACATTAACGTCACACAGGCAGGCTTAGCAAGATTTTTCTCTTTGACTAGGAAAATGTACATGAAAAAAATGCTGTACAAATATTCTCTTATTTCATTTGAGATGGTAACAGACTGTTGCTACAGCGAGCTCGACTCTCCCATCAGCTCCACCTGTCACACTGCTGCACAGGGTGGTGAGATGAGCAAAGAACAAGTGTCACTGTGCAGTCACAAAATTCTCAGAATCAGATATTAAAACAGTTGTATTGACACTGTAAACCTGTGAAGTCCTGTTTTTTTCCACACAGAACATTGATCAGGAATCAAGAAGGGAATCGATAAAGAATCCGACGATAAGCAGAAATTAATTATAGCTGCTGTGCAGTGATGGGTGGGGTCCGGGCATTTTTAGGCAATTCTGAGCAACAAGCAGAAGAATTGGAAGACATTTAGGAACTTAGCAACACAATCTGCCTTTTGCATCAGCTGAGGCTTGAACTCACAACCTCTGAAACTAAGGATCAATTTCTATTTCACTGAGCTAATTAGTCAGTGACAATTCATGTGTAGCTTCACAGATTGACTAAGCCAGACGTGCAGGTTTAGCAGCCGTCCATGCATGGAAAAGCAGATTTCAAACCACTGTAAAAAAATTCAGTTATCAAAACAAAATTCTGAAAATACACATATTGCATCTAGACAGCATGGAGATGTTGGTTATTTGTTTTAACAATGATTGATTTGCTTAACTAGTTGAGCTATGTGCAAAGTGAGAAGCCTCAGATGGTTTCACACTGAAGCACTGACACTGGATCTTTGTGGAAAGTTTGGTTTATTTTCAAGCATGAGAAGGCAGATTTTCTAGCAGAAAAAAGATTTGTAGATGCTGCACAGTGATCAGTCACGCTCAGGCAATTTTAAGCAATAAGCTGGAGCACAAGAAGATGATTACATTACAATGTGGATTCTGTACCAGATGAGGCTTGAATCGGCAACCTCTGGAACCTAAGACGGTCATCTACCGCTCTGAGCTAATTGGCAAGTAGCAACTCAACAGTGGCTTCACAAATTGAGTAAGCCATTCACTGCTGTGTAGGAAAGCAGCCGTCCATGCATGGAAAGGTAGATTTGAAACCACTGTAAAAAATTCAGTTATTAAGACAAAAATCTGAAAATACACATATACACATACACATATACACACACACGGAGATGTTGGTTATTTGTTTGTAACAAAGATTGATTTGCTCCATAAGTGAAAAACTGATGTTTAAAATTACCATTTTTACATTGACTCCAATTGTTCACATCAGAGCAAAATTCAAAATGCTGTCAAAAATTCAGTTTTTGAGATAAAATTCTGAAATTTGCCACATATCATCTACCATGACTCTAGAATTTTGTCTTTTTTTCATGAACATTGAAGATTTATTTAGCAAGAATTTGCATGTATATGTTTACAGTACCGTTTACAGTCAAACATTTTGATGCACTGTAGGCTCAATTTTTGATAAATCAAAAATCTGAGAAACGTAGTTGTTGTAGGACAGTCTGAAGATGCTCTGTAGCAAGTTTGGTGTCAATTGAGCAAAAATTGTGGGAGGAGATAGGTTTAAGAAGTTTTACAGTTGTTGAAAAAAACAGAGTGATGAACTTCATAATTTTTAATACGTTTATATGTACAAAAGTTTCTTCAGTATTGGGGCTACAGTTTCATGCATGTTGTGAAGTTGTAGCACGTATGGTTGATTTGTTATTAATTTTCAAAGTTTTGAACTTTAGATGCTTGCTGTAGTGCCACCATCAGGACTATTGTCTTGAGTTTACAGCTGAGGATATCTGGCATGAGACTGGACCTTTGTGCAAAGTTTGGTGAGTTTTCACCCATGGGAAGTATGATTTCCTCACAAGAAGAAAGAAGAAGAAGAAGAAGAACTAGGATTACAATAGTGTCCGGGCAGACCCTAATAAGGGCACTGGTGTCAGTAAATCTTATAAATTTGCTGGCTCTATTTTTCACATTTTTTTCTCTTAAAGACGAGTAAACTGACCTTTATATGTGATATCAGTGGAGCGTCCCTGTAATTTCACCCATGAAGAAGGCTGTTAGATGACTATTATCATTTTAACATTGTTATATGTGTGTTATCTATACACTCAGGGACGACAGGTGAAGTTGCATTGTGCTACGTCCGAGGTAACACATATATTTTACACTGTCTCTGTTTAACCTGCTTAAAAATGTTAAAGTCTCACTGAGGGTCACTCACCCGCATTTAAATGTCATCACACAGATTTGTTTCAAACAACTTCCTTTTTTTTTTGTTGTAAGCTGGAGACAAAAATAAATACCACAAAATCTCTGAGCTCAGCCGTCTGTAGTTTGTCACCGGAAACCAAACGAGCATTTACCCAACAAAACCAAATTCTTTCGACCTTTATGACACAAGCAAATGGGAGAGGTTACAAAGAGTGCGCTGCAAATGGACTCTCTGGATCCACTGTGTATTGTCGTTTTAACTGTTATGTAAAACTAAGAGCATTATCATGACATAAGGTACCAATCCAGGCATTTAACATCCAAATAGACACTCATGTCAGGAAAGGCTGACACGAGGACGGCAAGCGGCCTGTGAGGAAGACAAAAGGACAATCCTCTGATGCACAACACAAAATCCTGAATGTCCATTTTGGGAAAAAACACAGGCAATCAAGTCTGTAAGTTTTATCCAGAGGTTTCTGCTACAAAACTTTTTGTAATTTGTGATATTTTTCTCAAAGAAAAAGTCACTTTGGATGTTTTTAACTGCAGATATAAAGCAAATTAAATACTTTGTGCTCTCAGAACATCAGAATAACACTATTTTATACCTGTGGTGTCAAATAAATGTCAATTTAAGTGTGTTTTTTAAAAAATACAACTAACCTTTTCTTACTGTTTGACACTTCTGGGAAGGAAATTATGATCGTTATCTGGGAATAATCGTCATTTTTGTCCAGAGCAAAGTAAAACTTTCTCCCATATAAATGTAAACTTTTGAAAAATAAAGAAAAAGTAGATTTCCTATAAACTTTTTGAAGCTAATGCAGATTTTAATGAGGTTTTTTTATACGCTGCAGAGAGGCTGAATTTCCCCCTAACAACACAAAGAACTGCAGACAAGATAAGATAAAAACCACTGAGTGAATCACACCTCCCCCCCTCACCTGCGGGACCACTTGGCCGACGGCCGTCCGAAGGGCCTCTTCCACAGCACCCCATGCAGCTGCACTTTGGTGCTGATGTCCAATGCTTCAGAGTCCGACTGCTCCATGGACGACCACGGTGAGAACAGAGAGTTTCTGGATGAAGACGAGAACATCCTCTCTGGCTTCCCACGCCCTGGGAGGTGGAGCAAATAAGACTTCCAACAGACTAAAAAAAAAATAATACAGTCAGTCAATAACAATCAGTCCAATGACAGCAAACACACACACACTCATGGAGGTGCATGTATGGCTGCAGGGACAGCTTCAATATAACACAGGAAAAAGTAGCAAAGAAATCCCAATAACTCAGCAGGGTGGAATGATGCAGCTGCCAATACGCTCATCAGCTGGAGGCAGACTGACTGCACAGATGAAAACAGGGGATGACAGAGAGAAAGAGGGGAGGGAGGAAGAGGAGGGATACTGGGAGGCGATGGGGGAGGGAAGCTTTAGGAATGAGTTGCTAAATCTGAAGCCAGTCAATACATTCCAGCCAGTAAAAGCTGTTATTCAGATTACTGTACTCGCCGCAGTCTCCAGCTCTTGGCAGGTATGAACTCTCTGGTCCCTCCATCTATCCATCACTCCATCCACCACTCCCTCCATCAGCCGCTCCAGCAGTGAATTAGGAGAACATCTGGGGCAGAGGCGTGGCTGCACGACTTCTGGTAAAGAGGATGGAGAGTCGGAGTGGTTAACATGCAGCTCAGCGTCGTGAGTATCAGATTAATTGACACAACATGTGTCAGAGTGGATGGACAGCAGATTATAAAGATATTGACAGCTCAGCCTCGACAGAGAAGTGCATGAGCCTGCAGAGTTGTTTTTTTTTTCCATGAGTGAAATATCCTGTCAGGGCAGGATTTTGACACTTCATTTGACTGAAAAGTCCCATTATTTGTTAAAAATGTGATAAAAGTAATGATGAAACTCTTACCTTGATGAATACAAGATGAAGACTTCACACATGGGAACAGCTGCTGTCTATAAACTGGTATCAAGTGCATTAAAAACAACAGTGTTCAGGTTCAATTCCACCCATTGAATCCAAAGTTTTATCAGTAAAAATGCTTAAATCAACAAATATAAACGGGCGTTTTCACCAGTTAAAAAACTTTAATTTAGTCGTCATAAAACACATCGCTTTACAACCGATTTTCACAATCAAAAGTGTGGAAATAAGGCAGACTCATTCTGGAATGACAGAAAACAAAAACAAGAAAAAAAGACCCCCACTGAAACTATGACAAATATTAACTTGATCCTAAAACTCTTCCGACCCAAACTGAAACCTCCGCTCAGCTCCAACGTGTGCCGACACCTCCTCCTGCAGAGATCTGGCAGCTTTAATGGTTGCTAGAATTTAATTTTCTTAATTTTTATGCATGTGTGTAAAGTGCAGACAGTCTCAACATGTGATTAAATATAACAGAGCTTACTGCATTTTAACATGATCAGACGAACACCACAGACTTGATGATGATCAAACAAAAAATAAAAGCTTCAGAAGATTGTTCATGATGCAACAATGAAGCTTCACATTAATTCAATTGAAAAAGAAGCAGCAAACATCAGTTAACACAAGAGACGTGCATAAGGTTCAGACTTAACATGAACATTACGAACTGTAGAATAAACCTTATAACCCTGCTGCAGCCCTGTGAAAACCATGCATCTCAACAGCTTGCTTCTAGGTTTGTGGCGATACATTTTCAGATTATACAGTTAGTTTTAAGGGATAGTTGTAAAGGTAAACTCTGCAGGATTCTCACTTCCTGTTTGTTAAAATGCTCACCAGTGAAAGTAAAAGTCGACCCCAGTTTCACTATCATTTAAAATGTCGCCTCATTATATCCGTTTTTTCTTTTGCTGGGTCTCTTGGACGCCTGCTGCTTATTGTCTGACACCTGGTCGCTGCCTTTTAATGACACCCCAACCTCACCTGAGCGCTGTGGGGGTGCACGTTCATAAACATCCCAAACATAGAAAAGAAAGCAGAGTCTCTGCAGAAAAACACACTGCTACACTAACTGATATTGATATATTATTTTTTCCCTCGTAATTTTAGTGATCATCAAGTCTCTTCTGTAGTGGACTGAACATATTATACATACATACTCTTATCATGACGGCCCACCAGCAGATGGAGACATGAAATACAACACTAATAGCTCACTCTAAAGCCGGTATCACCCAATACTGATGACATGCTGATATTATTATATTCTGTATGTGACTATACATTGTTTTTAAGGAAAATCCTGCAGAGTTTACCTTTGGAAAATAACAGTCATGTACCCATATGTATACTTTGCTCGCTGTACTCATTCCTCCTGTCCACACTGCCCATGACAACATGCCTTCCCAATGATATTCCAATGTAACAGATCAGGGACAAAATCTACAGCTTTATAAACAAATCCAAAAGTTCAGCCAAAGCTTATGCGAGGCTTCAGTCAGAGTTACACAAATCAAGTACAGTTTTAATCGTTTGAAGGCAACATAATAACACAAGAAGAGAGTTTGCAATGTGTGCTATGTGTAACTCTTTGGCTAAACTTTAAAAATCCCCCTTATTTACACTGGAATCACACTGTAGACAACGGCACTTCTCACTGTTAGCATGGAGAGGAGGAATAATACAGTAACCAACAGAGCTGTGATGATTTGTCGATTAATCAATAGATAGAAATTGTCAATTTTGCTGGTTTCATGCTGCGTAAATGTGAGAATCTGATGCTTTTCTTTGTCTTACATGATAATAAACTGAACAGCTTTGTATTTTTTTGACTGTTGCTCAGATATAACAAATCATTTATCGATTTCACGTTGAGTTCTGGGGAATTCCACGTGGTGTTTTTCACTACTTTCTGACACTGCATCAACAAGACGATGAATCCAGAAAATAATCGGCAGATCAATTGATAATGAACATAACTGTTTGTTGCAGCCTACAAACTACATTTTGATTTTAATTCATATTATCTATAAACTTTTGTAACTAGTTAACAAGTTGTTCCTTCATCCTCCTCCCTAAAATAATTAATGTGACCAACATGAATGAGCTTTAAAGGTCCCGAACACTTCATTTCTCAGTCAGCTTTTTTATGATAAATGATGGCCTCCAACATGAGCACAATGTTTTCTGCCAAAGTTAGAAAAGCTCTGGTTGTTACGCTGTTTATAAATAACAGTCAAGGATGGCTCTTATTCAAACTCTAACTTTGATTGTTTAATATTTAGTCATGGAAATGTAATCTTATGGAGATATAACCAAGATTTCAACCTATGTTTTCAAGGGCTTTAAAGCTGACACATTCCCAAATACATGCAGCTTGGTAAATCATGAACATAACACACACAGATAGAGCAGCAGCGAATAATCAATCCACAGAAAATGTATCTGCAACAATTTTTAAAAATCAATTAATCGTTGGCAAAAAGTCACAAGCTCCATCATCTCACATGTGATCATTCACTGGGCTTCTTCATCTTCTATGACAGTCAACTTGATATATTTGGGTTTTTTGAATCGTTGGTTGAACAAAGCAAGATATCTGAGGATGTCACCTCGGACTTTTGATGGACATCTTTAAACCAAGTGATTAAAGGAGCTGTGTGTGAAATTCAGAGCATATGAGTTGTCTGCACTCAGGTCTCAACATGAGGGAACGAGCTGTGTGTCAGCTGTAACCACCATATGAATGCAGTGCAAAGCCAGTGGGACACACACATGCACTAACATGCAAGTGCAGCCACACTGGCTTCCCTCAACAAACCACAGACAACACACACAGACGGAGCCTGACTCCTGACTCCGCTCTGGACGCCATTACTCCACTATATCTTTACATAGCAAATAGTGGTTTGCTGCTGTATTAATGCTCTGAACGTCACATACAGAACCTTTCAACAAGAAAATAATCAACAGATGAACAGATATTTAAATCAATCATAAGCTGCTGCCCGTTACACACACACCAGTGAGCTAATTTCATTAAATATTTTTGGATGAGAAACACGTAAAGGCCAAATTTCTGCAGGGATTTTGATGAGACGGCACATGATGGGGCTCCGTCCTCCAACAAGCCCGAGTGTAAAGCGACACAGTGAGGGGGGTTTCCCTTTTTGAACACACATACACCGTCCCCATAAAAAATAAAACAGTCATGCAGCTGCTGGTCTGCATGCGACCCACTCACATCGCTCTAAAACATCACAGCGGGTTTCTCCTCCTCCTCCTCTCCTTCTTAATTGACGAGATGGAAAACCGTTCAATTTATACATAAAACAGAGACTCCTCAGACAGTCTGTGGCCTCCCGAGTCGGAACAGCTTATCCATGTCCAAAAAAAAAATCAAGAATAAAAAAAGGTATTTGTGAGTAAGCAGTTCCACCTCACACAAGAGATCATGATGACTGTGGAAAGGAAGAAGTTACTCTGTACAGTACATACTTACAGACATATACATGAGCTCTGCTGTGAGCAGGCACAGTGATACACTCACAATATCCACCTGTCCTGATCGAAGAGGGAGCAGCCTACTTACATCTTAACGCATCACTGTTTTAATGGTACTGAGGCAGAGACGGGGGGATGTCAGAGCAGGGCAGGGCTGCGTTCAAGTGCTTTGAAGATGAAGACAAACCCTCTGTAGCCATTTCAGACTCTGCTGCACTTCTGCGAAGGAAGTGCCCCAATTTCACGTATATCATTATTGCTCAGGTGTGTTAAACTAATGAGGAGTAAACCAACTAAATAAAAAAAGGGTTTTGTTCTAAATTCTCCTCGCAGGATCTGTTGTATGTCTGCTCTCCTGAGCCGATGGTCCCGAAACGTTTTCTCCAGTTAATGCCTTCTGCGAGGCAAATCATTCACTCAGACCTCCACCTCCAAATAAACTTAATAACACTCTATACAATCACTTAAGACGACTCTATAAAGATTGTTTCCTCCGACATCTATTTATAATTACTTCAAAATAAACATGTCCAGAAACTAAACATAAAATAAAAGTGGCAGTTCATGTTGTGTTACATCAAGGCTGGCTGTGTCTTCTCCTTGCGCAGGACTCGGGTTTGAGCATTTAAGTTTGTGACACACCATCAGTATCCGACAGAGACAGGCTTCCCATCAGAGCACTGAAACTGCTTGTTACAGCTGATTTTTCTACACTCGCGAGCCAGAGCAAGGATTTCATACGAGCATCTGACTGGTTATTCAGGCTGAGCTCGTCCTGCTTCGTCATTAGCTGCAAAAAAAAAAGCTCTCTGTTGGTAAGAAAATAAGTCAGGAACATTTACTTTAAACTGTACTGTCCTCACGGCGTCGTCTCCTCGGGGTTCAACTTGCTAATATGGCACTTGAAAAATCAGCTCAAATTAATCGGGATTGTTGCTAAGAGATTTACACTCTGTACAGGTATAAAAAAGAGAGTTTGCTTTCTTGATATCACGGGCTTCATCAAATCTCACTGCGCAACTGCCATCTAGTAAAACATCACTGTAATGATATTAGAGTTGGGTCTTTGACTTCGGACGAGCACGATAATGAAACACTGAAAACTCCACGGTGGTCGCAGTAAACTAAAGGGTCCACACTTCTGCTCTCTCTTATAAAAAGATTTCTGGTGGAATAAACGGACACATACAGCGGCTGTATCAGGAAAAACATTCTCATGTTCCTCGGTCGTCATGGTAGCAACTCTGATTTCACTAACATCATTCATTCTCTGTTTCAAGCTCAGTTTGGAGTCACATGACTTCCCCGCATCGAGCACCAGTCTGGTCCCTGAGGTCCATCAGCAGACAACAAGCAATAAGACATTTTAGATCCACAATGTTTGAAGTCTCTGTCTCCGTGTTTTCGCCCTGTACACCTGTCTTAAATCTGTACTGGAGTCTAATGGTGGTGACCGACCGACAGCACCAGAGGAATGAGGCAGCCCAGGACCAGAGCTACCACCTCCACCTTGCTCAGTCCTTTCCCTCCGTTCCCTCCTGTAGGAGCGTGGCTGTGGCCGCCACCCCCGACCTCAGGGAGGACATGGACGGTGGCCACGTAGAGGAAGGTGCCGGCAGAGAAGAGCATAGCGACGCCGGTGGCGTTGATGTCTGACAGGGCCTCTTTGCTGCTCTGAGAGGGGAACAAACAAAAAAAGTATGAGGCAAAAAGTCTGGCCTTTCTGACTGCTCGACTACTGATGAAATTCTTTATTCTTTTTTTTTTTGCTTTTTGAGAGAGGACGCATCAAACTACTCCTGCAGCGATCTGGCAGTTTTAAGGGTTTCTATAATTTAATTTTCTAATGTATGTAAAGTGCAAACACTCGCAAAATCGAATTAAATGTAACAGAGGTTATTGCATTTCCCATTTAAACTCACCTCAGTTAACAAAAGAGACATGCTCAAGAGCTTCTGCCTTTAACTGACCGGGCAGTAAAAGGGGATGACATGCAGCAAGGGGCAGCGGCCTAGAATCAAACCCACAGCCGCTGCGGCAAGGAAGTTGCCTTTGTACTAGAGACACCTGCCCACTGTGCTACTGGGCACAGTGGCACAGCCCTAGTATGGTTTTGTTTTTACTAGAGCTCTGACGAATATTATTTTTTTGACATTCAAAACTTCTGTTGAGGTTTTCAGATGAAGTCTAAATGTCGGTCATCATTAGCCCCTTTCACACTGCCAGATTTTCCGCGAATGTTGGGCCGTTTTGCCGGCAGGCTGCGAGCGTTTAGACACACAGAGCCGGATTGGCGAGTTGGTCCGAGTTGCCCAATTTTCCATCTCACAGGGTAGTCATATTGGCAGAACCTTTTTAGTTCAAACAGACCAAGGCGGCCTTCCACAACGGGAGGGGCTGTTAAAGACTTGTGGGAGGAGCTGTTGATGACGCCGCACGTGCGACCCACTAGTGTTGGATAAACAGGAAACAGCTGATAGCAGGAATTAGCGAGCAGCTAGTAGCAAGAGGGAAACACAGACACTGTAAAGATGAGCAACTGAGGAAACAAAGAACTGCACGCCCTCCTTGTCTTCGCAAACCAAGAGGCCATTAACCGTCAAGTGACGGGGACGGTGAAGGACGGGCCGACTTAAGAGAGAATCGCGGAAGGACTGACCAGCCACGGCTTCCCTCCACGTCACTGTTTATGTCACACGCTGAGCTACACGTTTTGTTACTTGCTCACGCCCCCCATTGCCCCGAAAAAGGCGCATTCTGTATAAATAAAAGTAGGTAGGCGGCATTTTGCTGCACTCCCCGATTTTGTTTTTATACTGCCAATGCTGAAAAAAGACTGATTGGTCTTTCCTGCAAATTTGCACAATTCCTCGTTAAAAAGGGCTATATTTTATGATGTCATTACCCTACAAAAAGTTAAAAAAAAAAACACTTGAATAAAATCAATTGTTTTAGCGTAAATTATTACAGGCCCATGCCTTCCTTTGTGCACAACAATCTAGAGAGCAAATGGTTTTTTGACTGCAGTGAAAATGTTATTTCCGAACGGCTAAACACCAACAAATATGGACTGCAGCAGAAAATTTTGTTAGATAAAAACATGCTGAGAATTTTGGAAATTACTGCGTCTTTCTTTTTTCAGTTAAATTCTGACTTTTGGACTTAACGATGCTCTGGAGTTAATGGAAATGTTTGGATCAAACAAGTTGTTGCACAGCATTCGACTGTTTAGAATTTAGAAATCAAATGTCACCGTTATGAAACTTTGAACTTATCTGCACAGTCCTAATTTAGACATGATGATAATGATAATCTCTCATCTTAAACATCTCCTATAGATGTCTCTTGTTGATAATCCTAACCAGTTACACTGGTTTTCAAACACACAACCCTGACGTTCACTTCACTGAGGCATCATGTAAAACAGACCTCAGGCTGAACACTCAAAGTAAACAGATAAGTGACGGTCAGACAGGAAACACACTCCCTGCCTCAAGGAGACGGACACATTTGAATACACTGGAAAAAAACTCAGTGATCCATAAAAAAAGTAAAATGTTATAATATAATTAATAATTATATTATTATTCATTATGGCTCTGAAGCTCATTCATAAAGCTCCAAAACAACAAGAACGCATATTTTAATATTTACCTGACTGAGGCCTAAAAAGGTGAGCATGGCGAGGACGGGCGCTGCCAGGGCAAAGACCAGGAGATGTTTGCGGATGCGGTTCCTCTCGAGACCAGCATGCATCAGGAATGATACCAGGCCGAACGCTGCTGGAGCCTGCAGACGGAAAAGAAGTAGATTTTAAAAAGGTTCATGAATTAGTTTTTTCAGCTCTACTACTACTACATAAGCTTAAACTGGAAATACACATCTGATAAAATTACACAATAGAAAAGAACGTCAAAAAACATTGACTGACTGAACACGACACAAACTGTTATTACCTTATGAAGCATGATAGCTACAAAGACGATGAGCTGAACGCTGGTCTGAGAGGTGGAGGCAGCAGCTCCCAGCGCCACGCCATCAGCTGGAGACAAAAGACACAGTTACTGCTCAAACCCTCTAAATAATCACCTCACCATATTACAGTAATTATTGAGCTCAGTCTAAAATTAGATTCAATTATCAACCAGCAAGTAAACTTGGGTGTAGCAGAGAATAACCGTTTAAATAAGTACCTATAAAAGCAAGTAGAAATTTGCACACCCATATTTGTCTGAGCACACCTTTACTGTCCATTTTGCATAAGTAAATTATGTAAAAAACATTTTCTATCACGGCACCAATCTGTGATTTAGTCTAATAAGGATAATTTTAAAATTAAAGTCTTATCTCGTACCAACATTTTGACAAAATAAATATTCAAAAGCAGACGTACCAGCAGCGTGGACCACAAGACCCAGGGTGGTGGTGATCTTCGAGGAGGTGACCCTCGCTGACTCTGGATCTAAACCAGACAAAACAACAAGTCAGAAACTGTGTATATATGTTGTTATGTATTAATGTTTGAACTGATTCTTGTCGTCTGTGGAGCTGCTGCAGATCTTCCTGAGAACCTCCCTCGTCATGATCATGTGACCATCGGTGTCTCATAAATGCCCTACCAGGCCACTCTCACACCCTCTGTCTCCTCCTTGGCAGCCTGTCAGTCCACCACCACATGCCGCCTTTGTCCTTTCCTAATTAAGTACACTTTGTTGTCTCCTCTATGTTGCTCCTTTGAGCTGGGGCATAACAATGTTTAAAAAAAAAAAACAAATAAAAGTGGAACTGAGTGATAATTATGGAACAGGATCTCCACACTGAACGAGAACTGTGTGGCTTAACATGTTGGCAGAGTTTGCAAACAGTCTGTGGAGCATTAGCTGCTCAAATAAAACCCTCTGAAATTATTTGGTGCAAAGCGTGGGTGCATCTGGGAGAACAGAAATTGCAGTCGAGCCATCTGGGGTTGTTTTGGGTCTAACTCAACAACATTATTTTCCACCGGAGGAGATAAGTATTTGATGAGGCTAATGACAAAGCTGCTCCCACCGAGCCCCATTTTCATAATCTAATTCTCCACATTCACGAGCGCCTCGGGTGCTTTGATCTCTGTGTTTGCTGTCCTTTGTCACACTGACCTTCAGTGCTGTGCACGTGAGAGCTGCCTATCTGATCCACCAGCAGCATGAAGACAAAGCCAAGGACCAGAGACACTCCGATGCAGGCGTGGAGCTGCTCGTGACTGTGCTCGTGTTTGCCGCTGGCACTCAGGGCCGCGTCTGCTTCGCCCTTCGCCTCGGACACTTCCACGACTCCGGCCTGGCCGTGGCTGTGGTGTCCACCTGGAGAAACACGGGTCAGGAGAGAAGAGAAAGACGCATGTGACTGTTAATAAACACCTTAAAAATCTGATCACTGACAATCACAAAACAAAAAAATCTGTGTTTGATTACGTAAAAGAGACAGACGTCATCAGGTTGTACTCTACAGCGTGCTGAACTTTGCTTTGTTTGTAAAGGATTCAAACCGTTAGAGTTCACAAAGGCAAATGTTTTCATACTATATGTCTATATGCTCTATTCTTTTTTTTTCCGGAGTCTCTGTGGCCCGTGGCATCCCTGAAGGGAAGGGAAGGGCTTTCACTCACAAAGAGCCAAAGACATAAAATAATTTTGCCTCAGTCTTCACTGGAAAACACAGAGTACAGAACTGACAGGAACTGATGAAAGAAAATATCAATAACTTGGTCAGTGTCTTTAACCCCGAGGCCACCAGGACACCTGACCTCAAGGACAACACTGAATCCAGAAAACTTTTCCCAATATTGTTTGTTGACACTTACTGAATAACTCAAGAGCTGTGACACTATCTGGACCCAGCTGAGCAGATCTACTACAGGCTTTCAAACTGATATCTCGACAGCACCAGATGCTACTACTGCTAAAATATTTTAGCTGCCTCACTGTTTTATCATTTACTTATCTAAAACATGTACCAAGGACAACCTGGCAAGTAGTGACGATGCTAGGTAAATTATCGTGGTGGAATTAGGTTAACAGAAATTTAAGTGAGAGCTGAAATGCTCTGTCAATTTATCTATTGGTAAACTGAGAATATTAAATCAGCAAAATCAATTTATGTCAATTAACTGTTTAAGTCAGTTATTAAGTAAGGAACCCAAACGTTTTTGGTAGTCGTTTAGATATTTCACTACACATTTAATCTCCATAACATCTTTGCATTTTGGACAAAACAAGCAATTTAAGGACTTTCTCTTGGACTTGTGGCAGGCATTATTCACCGTTTTCTGACACCTTATAGGCTAAAACAATAATTAAATGGCAGCCGCACAGTTTTCTTTCACTGACTTATGGGTTTGAGCACATCAAAATGCATCAATGCCTTCATCCAAGAGAGCTAAATTAACAATTTCTGGATAATAACTTAAAGGGGAACTTCACTCATTTTCAAAATTCTTACATGTAATACCTGGGGTCTAAGACAATCCAAGAGTGTTTGTAGAAATGAACAACTCTCCCCCAAACCCAAAATCTAGAGCGCTTAAACTTTAACTTCTGATGTCATACAGTATATAGTCCAGAGTGGCTCTGTAAACAATGAACTGGAGAAGATTTTATAGACGATACTGAGAGCACCTAGGGGAATGTTCTAAGTATATAGGTACATTTTCTGCTTCAGGACTGAGAACACAGACTTCACGGTATCACGGTATTACAGAATATATATTGTAATCAGTCAGCATGACTGTTAAAGGAATGAAAATGGACAGGTTAGCAATGGTAGGAACTATTTTGTTCATGGAAGTATGTGTAAAATGTCTCCCCTTTGAAAATAACTAAAATAAAATGGAGTTTCTCTGTTCAGTTCTCTGTTCATTTTTTTTCCTGCGTCATAGATAAGCATATGTACAGGGTATGATAACTGTCAACTTTTATATCACGGTATACTTTAAAACTGGTCTGACACTGCAAGCCTGCTCATTAGGGTACAAGAGAGAGCAGCCCATGTTCATAAATATCGATTAAACTTTCCTAAGCCATGGACATTACAGACTGGAGTTCTTAATTGAGGTGGGATTCCCCTTTTGAGAAAATACCACTGTTTTTATTTAACACTACCTTCAAGGATTTCCTCATAAAGTGCATGAACCCCCTCAGGAATGATGACAGCCAGTGCAGTCCCACACAGCAGCCCTGCTCCCAGCACAGTGATCAGCTTCAGCTTCTCCTGGGGAAACACAACCACAGGCACATCATCAGCACAAGTCTGTCTCATTGTTTTAAGCACTGTATACACAGATTACCTGACAACAGTACAGAGTTTATGATGCAATCAGTGCTTCTGATAAAAAGCCACTGACAAAGATGAACTTTTACCTCTCAGTGTATTTGTGAATGTAGCCAAAGTTATATCAACTGCAAAAAAGCACTTTAGCAAAGCTTTGCATGTGACAGACTTACCTCTGAGAAGTTGACTGCTAGAGGAATAGTCCCGGCCACGTAACATCCCACCAACATCGCAAGAGACAGTAGGCTGATCGAGCTAAAATCGTCCATGACTGCTGCACTTTTCTTTTCGGCTAATCTTCTGCTAAGCTAAACCATCAAAACCAGCCTCCACCTGTACCTTTAACACCTGTATCCGTGCTCCTCAAGTTAAATTACATGCCCCGACCTGCAGCTGTTGGTTAACACTCGCTGTTAATCCAATGAACGTCGCGTCCCTGTTCTGGTACCAGTTCAGCTCGCTGCCAAACATCCACGTTAACTTAACAGAGACGTTACAGCCTCTGGCCTCGATAACGTTAGCAAAGCTAAGCTAACTAGCTTCGGTGACTGCCCGGCGCTCAAAATTCACAAAGGAGGGATCCTGACACGGTAACGTTCACTTGTAAACATCCGTCACCCCGCATTGTTCCCTCCAGATATAGCAGTCAATAGTAAATATTGCAACTTCCCGACGCGGTTAGGTGAAAGCTACAGTAACAAACTGGCTAACTGAACATCCTGTTGTTTGGTGCTGCAGTGAAGTGCTTCCGGGTCACAACTCGTCTCCTCAACCTGTCGAAGCAAACCTGCCACGTATCTGCGAGACACGGTGGAGGAGGAGAGAAGGGAGGAAGTAAATATAACAGTAATAATAATAATAATAATATAATAATAATGTTATTATAATATTTTTTTGTTTGAAAATCATAAACAGAAAATTAAACAAAATACAAGCGGTTTAAGCGTTTAGTTTAAACTCTGTACAAATAATGTTAAGGGACTGTTGTGTACTTATTAAAGGAAAGGGTGGGCTGGGATTTGACTGTATTTTTGTTTTGCTTTTTTACCCTCCCCAAAGCTTCACATTTTTGTGACTTGAGGAATATGCATGACCTTCCCTCCACCATAAATTAGATATTAGATTTTAAAACTTACCCTTTGATGTTTGAAAGCTGAAAATACAAAGCTGAAGACGAAATCCTGGAATTGAAAAAAACAAACAAAAACAAAAACAAAAAAACGTTTCGCACTTTTGTCGTGCATTCTGGTTAGTTAGTGCAAATGGTTTATATCTGGCAAAATTTTAAATGATAAATGACAGAAGTTCCTTGCGCATGATGTGTTCACGGCCCATCAGATATTCAAATATCACACAGTAATTTCAAGTTTCTGGCTATGATACATGGTGTAAATTTTTAGAACAACATGTCTTCCAAACCCATTTGTGGTAAAATGAATATACAATACAGCTATTTTAAGTCCTACGCCACTCACCGAAGCCAAAATAAGAAAACATAGGTCCCTCTTCAATGTTTACAAAACTGACGTTTCCACCTTTTTGCACCACCACTCCCCTCTCATAAGTAACAAACAGTCCCTAACCGGAAATGTTCCATCGTTATTCATTCAAAAGTTCTACTATTATTTATTTATTTTTTAACAGTCATAAATTTCAGAGTTCAAAATGCTTAATTTTATTTTTTGTTTTGTTTAAAATCAGAATTGTAATGAGGATTATTGCCAAGTAGGTTTTACACTTACAGGGAATTTGCCTTAGTGTTTGGTGCATATGATAAACATTTTAAGAGGAAGTAAAACACAGGCAAAGTCCTGCAAGAGACAACAAAAATACAGAAAAGAAAAAAAAATACAATTAAAATATGAAAAAGATATTAAAAATAACAATAACATGTACAGTATAACTGTTTCAGAATGAGAGAGCTGTAAAGTATGGTGCAGGATGTGCAAAAGTTCACAGTAAATACGTATTCATGTATTTTTAATACTTTGTGGCCTAAACACTGTCAGATTAAATCTTAGAATTATTGGTGTTAGCTATGTTTAACTTTACCTAATATTAAATGCCTGACTGGAGCTGATGTAAACATTCAGTGGAGAAAATAAATACATTGTTTGGTCATAATAGAATGGTGCATGGACTCATTTTAAAAACCAATAAAAAAATGTTTTTAATTTGTAAATTACTATAATTAATGTGGTATTTTGCAAGAATAAAAATACATTTTAAAAACTTTGTTGAATGAATTTTATATTTTAACAAAAAGTCTGTATACCCCAAAAGGAGATTATCATGGTTAAGAAGTTAAGTCACTCATAAACAATTATTTTTAACTTTTATTTTGGCACAGCGCTCCTGTTGTTACAGTTAAAGTACCTTTAGGGGGAACAACTGTTTGTAAATTACAGATTGTGCTAATTGCATCTATCTACAGACGTTTGATCATTTGAGAGGGAGTTTAGTGATATTGGAATTGTGTTGTAAAAACTTAGACCACCTATTTAAATAAAACAAACAGTTTCTCCTGCATAGCTGCATTTAAAACCAGCCAAATGAAGAAAAGAGACAACCACTATTTTGTAAAAAAGCATATTTATTAGTTCACACAACAGAGCAGTGCCTCAACATGACGACAGTAAATCAAAGCAGAATGAGTCCAACATATTGGAGAACAGATCGGTGTATTGCAACTGTCTTTTGCCTTCACAGCATCAACAAAGGAAAAGAATACAACCAAAGTTTTATCATGCAGTATGTTTGTGCAAACCCTTTCTGTTCACAGCTCAGACTTTCCCTTCCAAACACACACACGTACAAGGCAGCAGCTCCTTGCTGACGGAATGGAGGGGTGTATGGGCACATGTTGTTTACAGCCTGCTGGACCAGAAAACTGTCAGCAGCAGAGCTGTGATCTAAGGAAGTCAGTCAGAGAGACGTGTGATCTTTATTTTACAAGTCCGATCTTCTTTGCTTCTGTTTCATATATTAAGAGCCTCCACATTTTTACTATGAAGACTTCTGCCTCTTCATCGAGAACCTAAACACAAAAAGGGTTGGTGAGACAAACGTCAAACAGCTCAATAAATCTGTTAAATAGATCTGACTTGTTATATGTTGCATTTTTCCAGTTTATCTAAAGGACAGAGTAATGCTCGCAACTCTGAGACAGTACTAAGGTACAGTGGTTCTTTTAGGGTGCGTTCACACCTGCCCTGTTTGGTTCGTTTCAATCAAACTCAAGTTTGTTGCTCCCAAAGTGCGGTTCATTTGGGCAGGTGTGAATACAACAATAACACTCAGGTGCGCACCAAAACAACTGGACCGAGACCTTCTTGAAGAGGTGGTCTCAGTCCGGTTACAAACAAACTCTGGTGTGGTTCGTTTGAGGTGAGAACGTGTTCTGACCTGGATCTGAACCAACTGCAGTCACATGACACATTGTTTGGGTTAACCCTATGGGCCCTAGGCGTTTTTTGGGGTATTTTTACTGCCTTTACTTCTAAGCTCATATCACAGTCATTATAAAGGCTACATACACATGCTATATCTTGTTTTTTTCAGGACAATGTGGGCTATCCAGATTTGCCATCATTCCATATCCTTCTATGTGCCTGTATTTTATATTAATTTTTATATCAATGAAAAAAACAAATCCGTGTGACTAAATTCTTACATTTTTACATGCATCTCACCATCGCAAGTTGGAAAAAGACATATTCTGCCATATATGAAGAGGGGAGACTCTCTGGAATCTGGCAATATAAGAACCATGATGGTGGGACATTCTGTCACTTCACAGCTGTCCAAAACATGTGGTTTGTGCCAGGCGGACATGATTGACAGTATTTTTTCATTATTGCAAGAAATTCCATTGACTCATTCACAAGTCAAAAATGTGTTTTATCTGAAAGAAACATGCAATATTTACATCTAAGATCATAGAAAAATAGTCAACCAAGTGCAATGATGTCCTCCAAGATAATATTTGCCACTTTGTTTGCAGTAAACCAAATTTGGGCATTGGGGGGGGCACATATCCCCCTCAATGTATATGGTGACTACTGCCCTGTATGCATGCATAATTAGGCTACAGTTGTCTGGGTGCGCAAAGGTGAAGTGGCTGGTCTTGTCATACAAAGTTTGATGGAGTGTCAACTGGACAATATGAAGATATTTGCATCTTGAAAGCTGGACTACAAGTGTGGATAGACAGGGAGAAACACACGCAAGCCTAAGACGTGGTAAGATACGATATTCCTCACTATATGAAGTGACAAGATCTGTGTCATGGGTTGTAAAGAAATTCGTCAGGTTTTTATTTTGTAGACACTTGATCTGTATTTATAGCTTGATGGGATGACAGCACAATGATGTGTGTGGTGTCAGTGGAAAGCTCTGCTCCTGCACTTTCATGTGATATGCATGGTATTTCTGTGCGAGCCTGCGTTCGCGAGTAATCCATCCAAGAGTATTGTGTGCGCAGAGCTGTATGAAAGCTCGGTTATTCATGATTTTAGTGTAACTTTATCATTTTTTTTCGCTGTGAAAACATTGGATTACCGGCAAGTGGCAACTTGGCCTTGTAGGAAAGCTACAATTCCGCTGTTTCACGTGATATGTGGTTTCTCGCTATGACGCACGGTCGCGGAGAAAATCAATAGAGAAGAACAGGTGTGAATTTGGACGCACAATGTGTCGTTCGGGCCCATAGGGTTAAACATGAGCATGTTACAGTCCTGGAGGATTATTAATGTGCACCTTGATGATGGCACAAGAGGACAGAAGTTCAGAGATTACCAGAGGAATTAAAATTCATCCTCTGAGAGACCATGAATTTCTGTATCAAATGTCATGTCAGTCCATCCAACAGTTGATAAGACATGTCACTTAAAACCACAAATGTGAACCTCACTGGTGCTTAATGAAAAGCCAGGGGTTAACCAAGTCGTTTGACGGATACAGCGTCTGGGGACCATGAATGTTAGGACAAATGTGAGATATTTCAGTCTGGCTTAAAGTGTTGGACCGACTGCAGGCAGACCAACATTACCATTGCTAAGGCTGTGCTACTGTCATGGCAAAAAAACTGACTCAACTCACCATAGCAACATCATCAAGAATACCCTGAGGGGTGCTGTGTGCCATCACCTGGGGAGAAAGAAAGCAACACTTAAAATGAGCAACGATGCAACACAATGAATTTCAGGGCACACACACAAATAATATATAAATAAAAATCAATGACTATTCCTCATGAATATATGCAGAGGCTTTCTTGTTTTGCATGGCATTCACGAACCTTTGAGCAGACAAAATCAACCAGCGTCGGTTCCTCCTCGCCGATGTATTCAATAATCTTCTTATTGATCCATGGTCTAATGCGGCGATCCATGAGAGTCTACAGAGAGAACAATCAGAGCAGTACATGACTTCATTATCTATTACTGATGATGTTATGACAGCAAATGAACCACTGAATCATTACATCGATTAATGCAGCTGCAGAACTCAAACTCAGAATATTAAATCACTACACTCTCTTTGACCTTTTGAACACTGTAAAACATCAGAGGCTGTTTACCGAGTCGACCATAGCCCAGTCCAGAGGGTAGGAGAAGAGCTCAGGCCTGGCAGTGGGGATCTTCTCAATAAGGCTCTTTATGTGCTTGCGTTTCTCCTCTGTGTTGATGCTGCCTTTGGCCCCTGAAATTTCCGCTCCATCCAGCCCCAGACTCTTGTCATCGTCA